AATAGGAATGCCGACAATTTGTTGAAAAAGTCAACCTCCAAATTCAACAAATATGTTGTCAATAAGAAACTCCAGCATACTGATCACTTGTTCCTCGGTGTAGCATGTTACATTTTTGTTTACTATTAACAAAATATGCCATATCGTATCCCAAAGCAATAAATTTATAGCGTATGCTATAACTTTTATTTTGAAAAGCATTGTGGATTATTTCTTTTAGACGATAATTAAATTTCACATGGGGAATGGTGGTATAACGAGTTGAAAAATCTAAGGTCTTGATAGAATTAACTTCAGAGAAAGATCGAGATTTAAAATTATCAAGAAGTTCTTTAGAGTTTTTTAGAATCAACATATGGTTAATACCACTACGCGAGTAAACAGTTTCAAAGTATTTCTGAAGACCATCTTTGACTAAAGATGGATTTTTTTTCAAACTTATGGACAATTCCTCTGTAGAACATGCAGATAAGATGGCAATGTGCCGTTGTATTTACTGAATTTTGTTTAGCCTAGGGATCCAATGCAAACAAGGTAAGTCCTCAGATTTGCTGTTCAATGTTATGTTCATTGAAGCGATGGAGGACTTATGATTCGCCAAAATCTCATTCTTGCCAAATGATATGTTTTGTATGTGGGATTACCTGAGTGCTCATTTATTCCTAATTTTTTAGAAGACACTCGTAGTAGTACGATTTATTTACAAAAATAATATTATTTGAAGCTTTGTCCGCAGGAACAACAAAATATTTATCCCGAAGAGATGATAGATTTTTCACAGCTTCTTTGTCTCTGAAAACGGACTTTGGTGGATCATTCACACAGTTTTTCAACTAATGGATTCGACGTTTTATCAGAGACCTGCTTGAAATGTTAACTTTGACCCAAGTTAGGATAATTTTCGTAAAAGGACTTTGTTACAAGAAATATTTTTTTCCAGATAATTAGTCGAAGGCCAAAACATGTAAGTAGATTAAGAGAACTTTGTAAAATTTGTAATTATAAATCCACAGGAAGATGCACGTCGGTTGAAGTTTTACAGGAAGTGGACAATGATCACAGGAGATCAATAGTTATTAAACACTTTACCAGAAGGGCTATTAAAGGTTGGAATTCAAGAGTCAGCCATTAAAAAAAGAAAGAAATGTGCGTTCCCAGACATTGGATTCAAAATTATTTATTGTAGCAAAAATAAACGTTTCATTATAAAAAAAAACAACAAATGTTATAAAACTCGTTCCTGTTGGACAAGAAAACTCGAAAAGAAAATTAAGACTGCAATTCACAATATGAAACCGTTAAATCAATTTAAAAGCAATGGAAATTGAAGACTTCGCAGTAACTTTGGATTTGACAGGTACATACTTCCATATTCCCATTCAAACAGACATAAAAAAATCATGAGATTCAGGTTTATAAAAACAGACATCAATTTTGGGCAATGCCGTTGGGTCTTCACTCTGCACCATGTTTGTTCACAGTATTGACTGCGTATTTACAGAAGCTAAAATTTAAGATGTTCCTGTATCTAGACGATTTTTTAAATAATCAGTTCATAAAGGACAGTTCTTGTCAATCAACTGAATCAATTACTCGAATTAGTGCATGATTTGCGACTGCTAGTGAAAAAACAAGTTCCAACTTGAAACTAACGTAATATATCAAATATTTTGGAGCTCTTTTCAATTCGGTGAAAGAAAGAGTCACACCAGCAGATATCACAGTATTCTTGAAGTGATAAAAACATAAAAAGAAAGAAAGCAGACTCAAGCAGTTTTAATCCTTAAACCACTAGGTCTAATGGCTTCATGTATTTACATTATATCCATGGCCATCGGCAGAATACATATAAAACCGATCCAGGTACATGTATATCAATTATCATTGTAGAGAAAAAAGTAAAATCACAAAAATACTGAACTCCGAGGAAAATTCAAAACGGAAAGTCCCTAATCAAATGGCAAAATCAAATGATAAAACACATCAAACGAATGGACAACAACTGTCATATTCCTGACTTGGTACAGGCATTTTCAAATGTAGAAAATGGTGGATTGAACCTGGTTTTATAGCGCTAAACCTCTCATTTGTATGACAGTCACATCAAATTCCATTATATTTACAACGATGCGTGAACAAAACAGACATAATAGGTAACATTGTCAAAATATGGGTACAGCAGTCATCACTGTGTCACAATCTCAAAACAAACAATCTTTGTATCTGGAGGCCAGGTATTCGGCCATTGACCCAGTTTATTCAAAAGAATAGCATTACAGGAACCATCCGTTCATTTGCAATTGCCAATAATAACAGATGCAGACTTCAGTTAAAGGCAGCACGGTTAGCTGTGGCCTCAATAAACTGTACAGTTAGTAAAAAGCAAGCCAGGAGCCTGTATTTTAGTGGTTTTCGTTTGTTGCTGTTTATCAAAAGAGATAATCAAAATTCATAAGTGGAAGAGAAACCGACAACACAATGGCAAAAAACAAAAACAAATGCACAACGAAATGATGAACAGAAGACTGGATAATACCAATCCCACTAAAAACCGGTGGAGATATCGTGTACTGCGGAAGGATAAGCATACCCTGCTTCACATGTAGGTCATTATCCTTAATGCGCCTCAAAATGAGGTACTCAAACTATAAATAGAAATTTTTAAAAAAATGTATGCAATGAAATTGGACATGATGCTATTTTCAGTAATTGACTGAGCTTAACCATTTCTGCTTTTTTGAAGTGCAGAAAACTGTACAATAAAGATGTAAAAACTTTGGAGTTATTAAAGGTTTGTACCGAATTGAATTTCCAGAGAATTTAACTGTGTGAAAGTAAGGACTTTTTACTTGCTGAAGCGGCATCACGTGGGTCCTTCGGGGTTGCCCAATTTGTGAAAAATTTAATCTCACTTCGTACCCCGAAAATTTAACCACATGTGTGAAAATGTCTCACCTTCGAAACAAGACATCATACATATCCAATTTACGATATGGACAGAGGAATGGAAGAAAAGGCTACCATTGTCGCCTATGGGAAATGAATTGCGCATCTTGACGCATGTGGCATACGTCTTGTTTCTCGTGGTAAGTACCAATTTGGTGACAAGTCTCATTCGCTGATGTCACATGCGAGGAAAAGAGGACGGGATTGTGGCTATGACAATTGGAACATATCAGTGGTCATATGTGACACAGTTATTTCATCGGTCAACAACTAATAATGGCGTCCGTAAAACATTCGAAGGAATGACTTCAACTTTACCACTAGGAACCCTTGGTCCAATAGATTCCGTGTATGCAACATCACACTATAATGAAATCATGATAAAAATGATAGGAGATAAAGTAAGCTCTGGTCTCGAATATCGCATCAAATGGGAGATATATACTCCATATGGAGGTCCTGTCGCAATGTTGCTTGATAGAAATGGAAAGTTCACAATTGGAAACCTGAAAACGTCTATTTAATTGTAAATTTTTGTTCTCAAGTAACCATCAACGTAAATGATGAGGCAAGTCAAGATATGAGGCTGACTTTACTGTATCTGTGGTATACTTTATCTTAAGTTCGATTGAAAAGATGCGTTCAGCAAAGTTACCAAACTTTAAATTATTTAGTGAGAGGACATAATCAATATAGTAAAACGTGAAGTTATTGGAATTTTTCCTGAGAAGCTACTGTATGAAGGCTGCCCCATATCAATGAAGGAACAAGTCAGTAAGCAGAGGAGCCCACTTGGTTCCCACAGAAACGCCGATTGTCTATTGAAAAACGCGTCCTATTAACATATTCAATGTGTTTTAATAAAAAAAAAATCAAGCATTTTGATGGTGTCAGATTCGGAGATTTTTTTGTTTAAATCAGAGGGTTCGTATGATGTATCCCCCTCCTAAAACAAGAGATGTGTATCTACGTTGGCTATTGCTTTTATGGAACAAAGTTGGGCTAATTCTTTTCAACTTATCTTTAAGATTAGAAAGAGGAATGCTTGTGTAAAGGGTAAAGAGGTCAACTATTGTTATACTTTTGGCAGAGAAAAGAGACTTGGATTGCATGTACTCTTACAGATCTTTGACATTGTTTAGTATACACATCTGATTCACACTGCCCCTAAAGTAGGTAGTTTCACAGTATCTCCAATGTCGGCTTTGTTTGCTGATAAAATGGTTGTTAATAATTTAGAAAGAGGTTTCGTGAAGCAATTGTCAGACCCACCCAGCAATATAACTGTGTTTGCAAGAAAACTTGTGTAATTTTGGTGTACAATACAGTGTATGAATTTCCAGTTATTCATCTTTAGTAATAATTCAAAAGGAATATAGAACAAACCTGTGATGGTTCAGGATTTCCTGTATGGTAATAGTCGTGGAAGTATATGTTGAGTTCCGAAGTGAAATGTCAATATCTATTTCCATTATCAAGCAGTTAATGAACAAAAATGATGTTCTTGGGAACGTTGTCTACAGGGACAACCACGTACTTGTCATGGAGGTAGACACATATTTATAAGCATTTGAGTCTTTGAAGATAGTTGTAGCATGAGTGTTCATAGACCAAACAAGTTTTTTTTAATTCTAATTTGCATTAAAACGACCTCAAAACATTAACCCACTCGGAAAGAGTATCTTCGTCTATTTTTCACGCTTAGCCAATTTTCTGGCATAATCATCGACTGAATCAATTAGTATTTAAAACTGGTGTTTCCAATTTATAGATTTAGACTCACGGTATTAAGGCCTTTTAGTTAACACATTTCGCAGAGAATTTTGACAATGTACAGATCACACGTAACGACATTACTAGTCGGTTTATATATGAATGGGGAACAAGCACAGATGCAATCAGGAGGTTTAGACTTGAATTTACATGAGATTAAGCCATTTTGATAGACAGGAAACAATTTTGAGACTTTTCAAAGTTATATTTTCATATCCCAATAACGTCAAGACAACGTTACAACAAGCCGCATATATAGGAAAACAAACCAAATCCTGTACGTAATTTCACGGTTATATTGTATAAAATTGTACTTATAAGAATTGGAGGCTTCTTTTTTGTAATTAATAGGGTTGTAAACGCGTTGATCGTGAGTGCATTTTAGCATAAAGCGCGGAATCATACAAATGATGCTTCCGTCAACGCTTTTTGATACCAAAAAAATATATATAAAAAGAAGCATCCAATTCTTTAATATGAACATTGCATTTGTTATATTGGTTTTAATTATCATAATATTTATATTTTCCGATGTTTAGTATTATCTGTAGAAATGAGGTATGTGACGTGTTTATATTCAGCTCTTCCTTTTCCTCCTGTTTCCTCAAATTCGTATTAATGCAAGAAATGGCATTTGTTAAGTACTTGATTTAACATTTAGGAATAAAGTTTACTGTGAATGCAAAGAAATGTTCACTGAACTAAATAAAAGCAAAACTTGTATAAAAGTGTTAAGATTTTGTAACCGCTCTTTTTGTTTCTATTATCAGAAACACGCCAGCTGTTATTTCCAAAACAAGGGCGACAATCGATAAAGCAAACCCGTATTCCAACGCATAGTCAGTAGCTGGTGAATCTTTGTAATATTTGTCCCACTGTGTACCAAATACTATGCATCCTATGAGATATAAAATACCTAAAGTAGAAAAGAGAAATTATGAACATATTTATATAAAACTTCACATTTATCAGATATTGTCTATCTTAAACTAGCTAAAGTGACATTTCGTATCAAGCCTGTTATTACGACACAGTAATATTACGCAAAAAGCTTGTACACGTTGAATCTCTACTTCTTTGTTGAATTTTTTGTAACTACAGTGCTTTCTTATTTTGTTTGTTCACAAAATATCAACAACTACGACTTGTGATCCAATTATACTTGACACGATCATCGCGACAGATGTCACTTCTGAAAATGGAAAGCACTTATGTTTTTTTAATCCGAGAAAATTTCAGTTCAAACATATTTTACTTGCAAAATAAAGCAAAAGGGGTTTTACACAAGTTATAAGTTGACTTCCAATAAATAAAATGGCAATACTTTTTATACTGAATTGAATTTGTAAGACTGAATAAAAACTAAATAAAATAAAAATTCAAATGGGACGATAAAGGCCCATAAGTCGAAGAAAGCAATTTAGGTACTGTAACAGCGTACATTGCAAAATATGACGAATAAAAATGACTCTTGGTATTTTGTTATAGACATATTCTCGCATATGCCGGAACTTAATGAACAGTTGAAGACGGACGTAAAATTAAATATTTTCTCCTAGAATATATTGAAGTAATTAAGTTAAAGTCTATAATAAGTTCGTTTCCGAGAGAGAGGGAGAGAGAGAGAGAGAGAGAGAGAGAGAGAGAGAGAGAGGCAGAAAAGTGGGTGACGGGACTCGTTTTCTACAAATTTTCTACACATTCCTTTATGAAAGTCAGATTATCTGAGTTATCTCCCTTTTTATGGCTAATATGGTAAAAAGATATAAATCAAACAAAAGTATTCTACGTTTGTATACAAAAGCAGTCGTAATGATAAGATTATACGAATACATATAATTTCTTCATTTAGATTATAAGTCAGACAAATGAATTGCATTCCTCCCTCAAATTTTCCATATTTCATTAAAGATCTAAACCGATTGTTTTCTGCTATTTTACAATCAAAGATGGCTTAAGACACTCGATCTACCTTAATTCATTTTTGGTAAGCGAAGTCATTCAAATGAAATGTCAAATTTGTAATTTTGTATCAATATGTCTTCAAATCCAACATGTAGCGCTAAATATTAATTTGATTGTACGGAAATATGAAAAATTGTGAAACATTGTTTTTAAGTTTGAAATAAACTATTTAATATTAATTTTCAAGTGAGGTTTGGTAGCATTTAGATTTTGACTCTGTGAGTGAAACGGGAAATTGGCCTACCTCTTTGCAGCTGTTTTTCTTACAAATAAAATATGATTTTGTTTTTGAATTCTTCGAGTGTCTCCTATTTGCATTTATGAACGCGGTGTTAAAAGCTAACATCAAGTCGGTCATTATGAAAAGGATACATATATAAATATATGCATTTAAATTATAAAAACATAATCAACTTAGAGTTAGGGTTTTTGTGTGTTTTTGTTTTTTGTGTTCATGTGCGTGTTTGGTTTGGTTTTTTTTTTGGTGCTCAGTTCAATATACGTACCAGTAACAATACTGACGATACCGGCTGCTAATCCTATTTGTCCATTAGTTTTGCAACTATTTATAAACAAGAAAAGAATCAACAGGAAAAATGATATCAGTATACCAGAAAATCCGAATGTAACCATTGCTTGAGTGGCTGCATACCAGTCTGTAAACAAAATTATTATTTAGATCAAGAATTTTATTACGAAAAAAGTTTATCGTGCTTTTTGTTTTTAATAGATATTAGACTATTATAACTAAATATACACTGTATATTATCGCCTTAGGAAATTGGGTGCCAACGAAGCGGAGAGAAAGGAAAAAAAATAAACAAGGTATGATATCCTTTAATTTACACCATTTCTACCGTTTTGATGAGGTTGCCGCTCATGAAATGATTTCCTGGTATATAAGGCTTTAATGTTTTATGCCAACAAGTAGCAAACAAAGAAAATGTATTGTGTTATACTCCAAAACTGTGCACTTGGTACCAGAAAATTTTGAGGTCGATTGCTCTCCGTCGCCCCGTTGGTCAGATGTTCAACTGTTTTTCATTCTTTTTCCAGATAATTTTTTAGATTTTGATAGTGTGACATTATATTTACTAAAATTCGCTATCAAAAAGATGTTTTCTAAAGATTATCGGTAAAAAGAACCAAGCCTAGGGTACGGCAACTTGCTTGTGTTGACATTTTTACAGTACTACAACTTGTTTTATAACTGTATGGCAACTTGCTAGATTTTCAATATTTATATGCGGTCCTTTAAAAAAAATAGTGCTATAAGTTCAAATAACTAATTATACATTTGATGATAATACAAATCGCTTGACGGCATTGTAGATCATGGTATAAACAATGTTATGCTATTAGTTCTCTAGCAGTATAAATAAAATACATGTTTTTCAATAGTTTACCCTTTATACTAAACATAAAAACAACATTCCACAAAAGTGTCCATGAATAAAAACCTTTGTGTTGCTACTAACTTTTAGTCTCTATTTGTTTTATATATTATATTACATGTCTGAGTTCACGTCTGATATGAGATTCAATGTAATGTAGTCAATTTACATTGAACAAATGAAAACCCAGTTTATTTTTTCTCTTAATTATAAAATATTGATAATAAAAGAAAATTGAGCGTTTATAATTTGAATACGAAAAATACAACTGCGGATAAATATTTTAACTTTAAGAATGGCATTTCACTATTTCACTGACCTATTTTTCCGCTTTAGCTTAGAAAAAGTGGCGGAGTCGAGACTTGGGCGTGCTGTTTATGGCCCTGCCCCGCATTCATGGTTCATTGACTATGGAACTTTTGCATATTATAATTGTTAAAGTATTGCCATGTCAACATTTGCATTTTAGGAGACAATCATTTGATATGCTGACGGAAGTGGAACAAGATGGTTTAATTTCCTTCTAGTTGTGAGCAAAGTTATTCACTATCAGCTCTTCCCAGGCAAAGATATAAATTTGAAACGTCCGGGATGAAAGAGATTTGGACTGCCACTGGAAAATTAGGGTAAATTGTATAGAGACAGAAATTTTGCCTTGGAACAAGCCACCTATGGACCCCTCTAAGAGATGTTGCAAGGGTTCTTAACGTGCAGAGAGCGTGACACTCTTTTGACACGAGACATTGGAATTAACGGTCCCATTCTGGATGGACGTGGCTGCGTACTTGTACATCCCACACAGCCAAACGGACGCCCCACTTTGGAAAGGGTTTAACTTCCAGTCAGATGAAGACCAAAGTGACCATATGTTTATTCCCCATGCAGTCACCGTTAGGGGGTATAAAATTTGACAAATAATAACTTCAAATTAACAAATTAATAAAATAAGGTTTTAAACGCTAAAGATTCGATTATTTTCATATATTTGAAAGCTAAATGTAGTTTTTTAAGAGTTCCATACCTTTATAGGTTTCAAAACAGAGAAGATGTGTTTGAAAACACAAAAACCGTATGGTATTCAAGAGCTTGCAGCTGCTATCCAGATTATATAAAACGTCACCAGTGTCTGAGCAGAAAGTTGATGAACCGGGTAATGTTAAAGAACGTCTCGTCCTTTTTCTAAAAAAGTTCATCGGAAGATACCAAGATTTGATAAATATTCCATATCAACTTCACAAATAATACATGATGGTCTTGAAGTATAGATTCTAGGTACTGACGTCGTTTGTCATCTTAATCATTTGTTAAAGTGTTCTTTTATTTGTCGTTGTAAATTATTAACCTTTACTGTTGAGTCCACTTTTGGTTATATCCTTTTGGCGTGGCTCGGTACTTATGCATCCCACCAATGTGTTGTGCTGTGGTCATTTTTTGTATTCTTGTCTTTCATTTTTGTTTATGTGCTTTTTCTATATGCCATTTTGTTTTTCTTTGTTGACATAGTTGTTTGTTTTTATAGTGATTAAGAATATAACACAATGTTGACTGCTGCGCCCCTATTTTTGACATTTTTACCTATTATGTCTGTTTGTTTTGTTCACACATTGTTGTCAATAGAATGAAATTTTATGCGACTGTCTTACAAGTGAGAGGTTAAGCTAGCTATAAAACCATTTTCTACATAAGGAAATGCCTGTACCTAGTCAGGAATATGACAGTTGTTTTCCATTCGTTTTATGTGTTTGAGCTTTTGATTTTGCCATTTGATAAGGGACTTTCCGATTTGAATGTTCCTTAGAGTTCGGTATTTTTGTTATTTTACTTTATGATACTATAATTATTAATGCAATTGCAAGTTTACTTGTATTGAATTATATTATTTCATTTGACACAATATAAAAGTTAAGTTTAGAAATATTAAAATAATTACCATCTTATTCGTGGTTACCACACATTTATAGTTTGTCGTAATAGTAGTTTGGACTTGAAACGTCCTACAAAAGAGCTAAATCCTCTCAGCCGGCTTTTTTTTTTGTGGATCTTTTTTAATAGAATTATATTTAAGGTACCGACCATTCAGCTTTTGAGGGGGCATGGTTTTACTCAGATGACAGATTTTTTTTTCCGACTTAAATAAAGAAAAACAAGCTATTTTTTCAGAAACTAAAAAATTAGCTTGAAACGCAATGCATTATATTTTCCCTAATTTTCAATGGAAACAAAGTATTTTTTTCACTTTTTCTTCTAAACAAGGGTTAAATCAAATTATCCATTCAACAAATTTAATATCAAACTATGTATTTGATAAAAACAGCCCGAAAATTCGCCCTTACAAAGAATTAAACAACAGTTGTTAGTAGTATAGCGAAATGTAAAAATATCTAGGATAATTAGGTTGAAGAAACCATTTTTATCTTTCAAAACACAACTTCCAATAATGTACGCAATGATGGCATCTGAATGAAATAAACGGCATATAATTCATGATATTTTTGCTATGTAGTTTATTTCGTATATGTGTAAGCTGGTAATGCATACATAAGTACACCATATCACCCCTTGTTGTTATATATGTAGTGATTAATACCATCTTTACATAATATATTGCAAGACACCGTACGGAAAAACTTGCTATTTTGCAATTCGCCGTACAGTAAACAATAATTTTTTTGGTCCATATTCTTTAGAAAACATCTTTTTGATAGTAAATTTCGGTGCATATGAAGTCATTCTATCATAATTTAAAAGTTTGTCGGGAAAAAGAATGAAAAAGAATATCTGACCAGCGGGGCGACGGAGAGCGATCAACCTCAAAATGTTCTGGTACCAAGTGTACAGTTTTGGAGTATAACACTAAACTTTGTCTTAATTTTCTACTTGTTGGCATACAAAATTATATCAGAAATTCGTTTCATAAGCGGTTACCTCATCAAAACGGTAGAAATGATTTAAACAAAAGAAATTCTTACCTTGTTTATGTATTTTTTTTCTTTCCCTCCGCTTCATTGGTACCTAATTTCCGGTTTTTGTTCCCTTGATCACACCTCACTGTTAGTTCATGACCGCCCCTAACACAGTTGGTTTTTTTTTTCAAGATCCCACCTCACTATAAGTTTATGACCGCCCCTAACATCGTTTTTTTTTCTTTTGATAGATCACAACTATCTGTAAGTTCATGAAGGCCCCTAACACCATTTTTTTTTGTTAGATGTCGATCACATTACAAATGCTTTAATTCTACAATCTAGCTTAATTTCTCTCTTTTTTTTCGTGTAAAGGTATATCATATATGTATCTTTAGTGTGGAATATGAGATTCATGTTTGCTCTATGAATATTAGGTTTGCTTTCATGTTTTGTACTCTTTGTACTCTATAGTCATCAGGAGGAGGATCATCCGTGGGAATGTCAGTTAATATTTTGAAAGAATGAAAGTGTCTACAGTATAGATCTCAACTTTCGTTTCCAACAAAAAATATCTCAGTTTTTACATTTTATTCTAAATTAATGACTAGAACTGGTTATTGGTTTTACCTGTTGCTGTTCCATCAAGCTGTTGACATGCTGTAATTTGATTAGTATTGCTACATATCCGCCATAATCCATAATATTGCGCAGAGGAAGTTGCAATGTCGGTAGAGCTTCCCCATCCTGTTGTTGTAAAGGAGATACAGGCAAAAACTGAGGCAACGGCAAGAAAGCACAAAGCCAGCTTCATCCATAATGACGCCGATTTAAAATCCTTAATAACTGTCATTTCTTACAGACTTTAGCTACTTATTCAGAGTTTGTAAAGCCAACAGTATTTAAGAACGGTTACTACAACAAACTTTTAAGAAACATCATAAAATGACAAGGAGTATCTAAAAGAAAGTGATAACATTTACTACATGTAATATTTTAATTCTCCTATACCATAATAGTAAATATCTGAGTAAACAAGGTATGTCTTTATTGGTTATATATAAGTAAATGTAAATATCTTTAAGATACAGTTTATCTATTATAAACGACAAAATATTTTTCAAAGGGCGCAACGTGCTCTTTTTAAATCCCAATAAAAATAAAATTGATTAAAATGAGAAAGGAAATCAAAGTTTCTAATTCTTAGCTGAGTCGCCATGTTACGAACATATATGCAAGGTGAAGATATACCAGTTATTGTCTATACCTACCTCTTGCAACGAAAAAAAAATATCTAACTTAAAAATAGTTTTTGCATGGATATGTAATTTGGTATAAAATAAATGAACAAATAGTAATATGAACATGGAAAAACAGAAACATCACGAATATAAAATTGATATTTTTTAACGAGTTTTATAATGACTGGCGTGTAGATGGTTTAAGCATGTATAAGGTTCTATTTAAGTCCATGGATTGTTTTCTTCGCGTACTTTTCAACTATAAAACTTGTCAAATAAAACTAATGAAAATTTAATACTTTAGTACAAACTTATTTTATTTACGTTTAGATCGTTTTGGCATCAACAAGTCATAGATTGGATACATACTGGAAGTTGTTATTAATACACGAAATGTGTGGAGTATTATGTATTCACTTTATTCGCAAAAAGTTATATTTACTGTAAATCAGTTATCTTTGAATCTCTATGACGAGCAAAAACAAAGGACACCAATAACTGGTTTTAAAGGAGTGTATTTGTCATTTGAGACTTTCATAATGCAAAATTATAAATTAGGGAATTGTAATAAGGGAGGTCTCACACTAATCAAATTATTCATTTCAATTGGATAACCAGAGATTTATCATAACAAACTACGCTCGGCCTATTTCAGGAAAAAAGTAATATTTTATTTTCCTGGCATTAGTTTGGCCTTTTAATTACCTACTCAGGTGAATGGAGTCAACTTTGGTGTACAAATGAGTGTAACATTTTTTTTTTTAATTTATTCATGAATAACTTTAGTATGTATATATATATTAACAAAAACAAATTTTGAATTACGTGGACATATTTTTTTTTAAATATTCGAAAAGCTTTCTGAACTTTCATAATTTTGATGTAAAATGACCGTTGTTATGGGAACTCGATAGGAAGATGTTCATACCACCATTTGACTTCAATTTCTAAAACCAAATAACAAAATACTAATATCGCACATAACTGTCTTGTCCTGGTTTTTATTATAAAACTGAGTGGCAAAATCAGAAAATATAAGTATTGTCGCCTTTGTATGAAAAAGATACTCAGACACCGCAGTTTTCAATATGTGACGGTGGCGGCATAGTCTAACCTTTTTAAGTCCTGAAAGAAACCTGTATACAGTAATGTGTTTATCTATCTATTTATTTATCATTTATTCATGATATCCTCCGCTTCCGTTTGTCCTTCCTATTTTTTTTCTCAGTAACTATTCTTGAACTGCTTTACATAATTGTGTTCAAGTTTCCATAATCTAACTCACATGATGTAATTTTGTAAGTCCCTCTTTCATTTCTTCATCTTTAGTTTTAGGGTTTTACTTTGGCATAACATGGCATAGACTTTATCATATTAACACTACACTACATATTTGTATCCGCTTCTCATTAACCCTCATCTGAATTACGTGAAACTCGAAATCATTACCATAATAATACCAACGTGCACCTATTTTATTATTCCAATTATTATTTTAGGGATTCCTAAGTAAATCATGGACTTTGTAATTACTTTATCTGGAGTTTGTCTCCACAACTCATCCGTAACCTTTTATTATAATTTATTGAAACCTTATCGACATTTTCATCATATAATGCTATTTTGCACCTTCTTTTAAGTTTTTGAACCGAATTATTTTGGGGTATTTCCTGAGCAAATCATGTACTTTGCAATTGCTTTATCCCATATTAAAATTTATTGAAATGCTATTGTGGACCTCCAATTATGCTTTCGATCCAAATCCACAGGGTATTATGTTGCTAGCTTTGCACGAAATACTTCTTGTTTACATTTCGTAGTAGTAATGATTAATTGTTCTGTCTATTTGTCCTTTCACCTTCAATTGCCAAATGTTAAGTTATGTATAGTTAACAGCAATTCAAAGAACCTCTTGTTTCACCCTAATAACCTCACTGGAAATTTTATTTATTCTCATTAAAAATATTTACTTTATATGAATATCAGCGGTTTAATTAATTAAATTAGTAACTATCATAAGTTCAATATTTCTGAATAATTAAGAAAAAACAATGAATATCCATTGGAAGAGGATTTGGGTTTCTGATTTTTGTAAATTTAAAATTATCTATATAGAAAAGGAGGGAGAAGATACCAAGGGGCAATAAAAAATAACTGTAAGTCGAAGAAAAACAAACAATACCATATATGACAAAAAAGAAAAACAAACAATACCATATATGACAAAAAAGAAAAACAAACAATACCATATATGACAAAAAAGAAAAACAAACAATACCATATATGACAAAAAAGAAAAACAAACAATACCATATACGACAAAAAAAAAAGAAAAACAAACAATACCATATATGACAAAAAAAGAAAAACAAACAATACCATATATGACAAAAAAGAAAAACAAACAATACCATATATGACAAAAAAGAAAAACAAACAATACCATATATGACAAAAAAGAAAAACAAACAATACCATATATGACAAAAAAGAAAAACAAACAATACCATATATGACAAAAAAGAAAAACAAACAATACCATATATGACAAAAAAGAAAAACAAACAATACCATATATGACAAAAAAAGAAAAACAAACAATACCATATATGACAAAAAAGAAAAACAAACAATACCATATATGACAAAAAAAGAAAAACAAACAATACCATATATGACAAAAAAGAAAAACAAACAATACCATATATGACAAATAAGAAAAATAAACAATACCATATATGACAAAAAAGAAAAACAACGAAAAGACACAAAACACTACACAGAAAAGACTGAACAATTGAACAAACATTTGAAAGCCAAATATGTATAAGACCAAAACACATGACAAGCTGTATGACCAAAAGGTATACTACAAGGTCAAATTTGCATGAGGTAGTTGAAACATTAGTTCCTAAATAGTTTCTTAATTTATCAACGGAGAATTTAAGGAAAGTTTGTTATAAATCATGTCAGTATAGGAGCTAAGACTACTAAGTTGGTGATACCTACGGATATTAAAAGTCCACCAGCATATATATATATATACGTATCACTGTTACAAATAAAATCTTTAAGGTTAAAGATATGGTTTGGTGGTCGCTAACTGATCTGTCGGATATCAATGTTCAACTACATATAGCAATCAAATTTATGTATTTGCAAGGCATGAAGACGATATCAAAACTTTTGAAGAGCATATAACAAGTATAAACAAATAAAACATAAACTGCCCCGCCAGTCAGGACAACTGAAATGAATCATCAACGTAAATAAAACCCGAAATCGACATACCATTGTCGAAATTTTTTTCACCTTTACTGTCAACAAATACAAATGTTTCTCCTGTTAAAAAACTGATGGAATAGTATGAGCGCCAAAAGAAGCGAGACCGGATGCGATGAAATTACAGATTAGATAGACTGGTACCCGGCCGTTATTTGACAAGTTTGACAATATTGTATATTCCGAAGGCATACTGAATATTTTATGCAGGGAACCAACCTACAGATTAGACTGCTCTCTGATATCTAAAGATATAAAAATGCGAAAACATGTCCATAGTGAGTTTAGACACAGATAAATCGTATTGGTAGAAACATTCATGACAGTGACCATTAAACTTGTCTAGTGTCGTTTAAGTCGTTCTCCCTCATATTGATTCAGATATACCAAGACAAAGCAGACTTTCTGGTTTAGGTAGTATCCTTTATCTCAAGTTCACTGGAATATCTTAAATGTTTGTTATTAAGTGACAGGACATCCACTCAGTGGTTGTAAAACTATTAAAGATAAAAATTTTAGTGTAATACTCCGAACTCGCGCTTTATCTCAGCAAGGTTTATTAGTGTCGCTCCGACCAAAACTGAAAACAAAAAATCAATTTTAGAGTTGAAGAACTTTAAACCTCAAAACTCCAAAACCTATTTTAAACTCGGAGTAGAAAAATCTTAGTGAATTCAAATGATTTAAAATTCTATGAACAGTAAATTTATAGAAAATGACATATATATACTATGTATCCGTTATAAAAGATGTTTGACCTTCTTTGAACAACCCTCAATCAATAAAATGTTTCTTTATGAGATGTCTTCAAATGTGACCTTTTGTCGTTTTTTATGCCACCGCAACTGAAAGTTGGGGGCATATTGTTTTACCCCTGTCCGTCCTTCCGTCTGTCTGTCCGTCCGTCCGTCCCTTTATGGGTTTATAGTTATTGCAGATAACTCCTCCTACAGTTTGAATGCTAGGACGTTTTCACTTTGCTGGATGTTTGTACATACATTGAAGGTGTGCATGTGGTCAGGGTTTTGATTTTTATTAATATTTGCTCTTTTGGAAGATAGTTGAACTTTGTCATTTTTGGAGTATATACTTGCATAAGAGGTGCATAGCGTTTCCGGATAACTCCTACTGTTTGAATGCTAGGAAGTTTTAACTTTGCTGGCTGTTTGTACATATATTGAAGGTGTGCATGTTGTCAGGGTTTTGATTTTTATTAATATTTGCTCTTTTGGAAGATAGTTGAACATTTTTGACATTTTTTGAGTATTTACTTGCAGCGTTTCCAGATAACCCCTCCTACAGTTTGAATGCTATGAGGTTTTCACTTTGCTGGTTGTTTGTACATATATTG